AGGGGGTGGAGGGAAGGAGGGAGGAAGAAGGAGAGAGAGGGAGGGAGGGGGAGGGAGAGAGACAGAGAGACAAAGAGACAAAGACACACAGAGACAGAGGGATAGAAAAAGAGCAAGATGCAGACAGAGCAAGCTAAGATGTTGTCACTACAGGGTCAGGCTTTGAAGTTTGTAACTCCTGCCTCTTGCCTTGAGTTTGGGATCCATTCCCATACTCATGATTCTGTCCCCAGCACATCCTTTGTCTTTTCTTGGTCATAACCTTGACATAAATTGGTGCTGATTTCCCTGGCTGGAGCTAAATGCCTCTTCCTCATGTCACACTGTGGGCATCTCCCACACGGACATCTGAGCTTCCTGCACTGATGCCTGTTGGGGTCTGGTTAGTTGCCTGCCTACACAGGGCAAGCCCATCAGCGGGTTCCTATGTAAGGCACTGGTCTTCAAGGGTCAGTGCTGCCTGGGGCTCTCAAGCTGTGCTCTCTTGACCCTGCCCAGTGATCTCACAGAGGCCCTTCCTAAATGACTAGTTTGTGCTACTTGGGTTAGAAACTAGCATGGTCAGAAGTTCCTATGTGATGTTCTTCTCTTAGAAAGAGTGATAGTTGACATCACTGATGTAGGGATGCTTTGTTAAAAAGAAGTGTAGATCACATTGATCATGGTAATATTAAGCTCTGTTTACAGATGTGCCCTATCCCTGAGTTATGTTATTTGGAAGATGCAAAATGTTTGTAGTTTGAAATGTGTTTGGCAGGTTTTTTAAAAAAGGAACTTTTAATTATGAGAAATTTAAAATTTGTTAAGAAAATAGCATAACATTACCTCCATGTTTATTCATTTCAAAAGGTATTTCATAGTTGGGCATGGTGGCACATGCCTGTAATCCCAACACTCAGGAGTCTGAGGCAGGAGGATTGGCCATGAGTTCAAGACCAGCCTGGACTACATAGAGAATTTAAGACTGGCGTGGACTACACAGGGAGATCTTGTCTCAAACAAACAAATAAAACTTAAATATATTACTTCATTAACTTTCTTGGTTTCTACTTCATTTTGTTATTTTGAAGCAAGTAACATGTTGAACAAATACTATTGTATATTTAACAAAATACTATTATTTTGAAATAAATCCTGGATATATCGCTTCAACCATAAGCTTACATTTTAAGGATATATATTTTATTTTATTTTCCTCATTGAGTTTATTGGTACATTTTAGTTATACGGTACTGTTACATTCATCATTGGGATCTTGTACCTTTACATGACAGGTCTTGGTTCTTACTTTTTCCCCTTGTCCCTGCCCTCCCTTCACCCCCTCCTCCCCTCCCCATTTACAAACATTTTATTTCCATTTTTTCATTTTCTATTTTTTTAAGGATGTATTTTGAAACTCAGTCATGCTTTAGCACTATTGTGTTTGCCTGTAGTTTACTGAACTATGATGTGCAGACTTACTTTTTCAGTGTCACTGTTTGCAAGTATTAACAAATATGTTCATATTTGTATTCCTCCTACTTTCTTGGTGGGGAGGGAGTGGAGTATAATCTGATCTGCACTTTGTTTTCCCGTTTAACAGTTTGTCCTGGAGCTGGTTCCTAATCAGTACAGGTAAGTGGACTTTGCTCGCAGTTCCTCTGGGCTTACTAACCTACAGGACTGGAGTGGGGAGTCCTGGCTCATCTCTCCTTTGTCATTGCTGGTAATACTAGGTCGTTTGAAACGTATCACAGCCTTCCTTCGAGAAACAGGTTGAAAATGGTTTCAGAACACCAAGGCCTGCTACAGATTGTGTTTTTTTATATGATATACATTAAAATATGCTATTATTCATATAGCTGAGAGTGTCTATGTAGCCTATCAAGTCCATATTTTGTGTAGGATGTCGTTTCATGTAGAAGTTCTGAGTAACTGACCTTTGTTTGCTTTTCTTTCAGATGTCATTTATCCACACCCAAATACTTCTGCAGAAAAAGCCAGAAATGTCCTAGCTATAGAAACTGTACCTGGAGAGCTGGTGGGAGAACAAGCTGCAAACCAGCCAGCCCCAGGACACCAGAATCCCATTAACTTCTATTCTCTGAGACAGTGGGGCAGCGAGCTTAAGTAAGTCTTTTGGAAGTGGCGTAGGAAACCGAGAAAGGATTATTTTTGATAATACATGTCACAATGTACATGTTTATATATGAAATTGAAAACCACCATGCACTTGTGAGGGTTGTCTTTTACAGTATATCTTCATGGCTCATTTTTTTAAAGCTTATAAATAATATGTCTGTCCTGTGGCTGATACCTTGCCAAATTTCCTCATGCTTTTGATTTAATTTAAAAGCCTGAGTTTGAGATAAGTTGTGTGGATGATGTTTTCAGAGGCTGAAATTGGCTGATATCAAGTGTGTCTAAGGTCACAGGGCTCCCAGGGCCAACACTGGGGTTTCATGCCCCATCTCTGTACTCAAACTGGCCCAGGCCTCTGCTCTAGATTTCTATCCTCATTTTTGCTTAGGCCAGCAAGAAATGGAGATTTTACTAAAAATATATTTATTCTTAAAAAAACCTTTTTTTTGAGGTATAATTCACATACTGTACAATTCATCCACTTAAAATATGCAGTTTGGTGGTTTTCAGTGTATTCACAGAGTTTTGCAACTTACCACAGTCCATTTTAGAATATTCTCATCAGCCCAGAAAGAAACTCTGTACTGGTTAGCAGTCCTTTCCTATTTCTCTAACCTCCTTCTCTTCCTTCCCATCTTTAGCCCTAGCCAACCTCTAATCTGCCTCCTGTTTCTATAGATTTGTTTATTCTGGACATTTCATATGAATGGAATCACCTGCGACCTTTTAGGTCTGGCATTTTTCACTTAGCACAATGTGTTCAAGATCTATCCATGTTGTAGCATGTCAGTCCTGTTCTTCCTTTCCCTTAATGGCCAAATGATATTCCCTTACATGGCTGTGCCATGTTTTTTTAATCCATTTATCAGTTGGACAGTTGAGTTGTTTCCATTTTTGACTGTTACCATTAATCCTGCTGTGAACACTGACATGCATTTGTTGTATGGACATGTTTCATTTCTCCCAGGTATGTGCCTAGCTGTGGGATTGCTGGATCTTATGGTAGCTCTGTGCATAACCTTTTGAGGAATTGCCAGACTGTTCTTTAGTTGTACCATTTGACATTGCCACTGACAGTGTATTTGGGTTCACCATATCCTTACCAACGCTTGCCTTCTTGATTTGAACCATCCTGTAGTGTGGCATAGTTGGTGTTCCATTGTGGTTTTGATTTGTATTTCCCTAATAATTGATGGTGTTGAGCATATTTTCATGTACTTACTGACCATTTGTGAGTTTTTGTTGAAGCCACATCTGTTCATACCCTTGACCAATTTTTAATTGCATCAGCTAATTATTACTGAATTGTGTGCATTCTTTGAACAGAGGTCTTTTTTTAGTCCACTTTGTAGCCACAGAACCTAAAGAGCCTTGGCCTGGTTTAGAAGATGGGGAATGGTGGAAAGGTTGTGTACTGATGTGTTGTGGGACCTGGAGGTTTCTTGCTATGGTATAGGTCCCAGCCAGTGATCAGGATTCAGGCTAAGCAGCTGCATTGCAGAACTTGCATGTCCAGGATATCCAAAAACACGTTTCAGTAGGTAATCTCTTTCCTTCACTCACTTTTCCTTTTTTGTGTTTTTGTGGTTGAGTTCAGTATGATGAAGCAATTTCTTTTCTGTGTGTTTTTAGTTCTTCAGACCTGGGCTTATATTGGAACTGAGTAGGATGCAGTCGGGCCCAGACCTAAGAAGACCAGCACTGTGAGGGAGAGCACTCTGGGGCTCTGACCAGTAGGCTTGCCTGACTCCAGCCACATTCTGCTGTTCTTTTCTCAAAGCCTGTGGGGCCAGCTCTGCTTGAGGTATCTCTGACGTTGAGATAGATTCTCAGCAGTGTGGCTTCAGTCTGTTCCTTGGGTGGCTATTCCCATGAATTCTCACTCTCTGAGCCTCTGTGTTCTGGCCATTTGTTGCCTTCCTCTGTATCCCACTTCTATACTGTGCCTGTCTGTTCAGTCTGACCATTAAATCTGGTTGAGCCCTGATTTCTCGCTTGCCTGTGTGTTCAGTGTGCCCTGTCTCATGAGAGTGAGTCCCATTCACCTTCCAGCACCCAGGATCAGGGGCAGAAACAGCAAGGTGCTCCCACCTGTATCTAGAGTAGCACTGCTCCTCTGTGTCACAGCAGCATGCTTCTCAGCAAAGAAATGGGTCTGTGCACCTAAAAATGCCAGAAAATTGTGGGAGGGCCCTCTCTGCATTTTACAGGTTGAAAAGCTGAGGACTGAAGAGGTAAAGTGATTGCTCAAGGCAATGGGGCACATGTGTGGCAGAACTGAAGGGCACACCCAGGTCTTCCACTTTTGCCTGAGAACATGTTTGGAGGACTGAATTTGCCAGGTTTTTGTTCTGGAGTAGCCTTGTCTGCCTTCAGAATTAGAGAAAAGAATGAGGCAGAGACAGATCTCTATTACTGTGTGCTTTCTGTGTCCTTGAATTTAGGATGGTTTTTGAGTGCTACTGCCTAGGAAAGGAAGCACATGTGGTTTTGGCATGTGACAACTGACAGAGCATATTCAGAGTTGAGCATCACTGGGGTTACCACTTATCAACCCTGCTTTTACAGTGTGGTACAAGGGTAAGAGCTGGACTTCTCGAGTTCAGTTCCCAGCCGAGTCCTTTGGTAGTTGGGTGTTGTGGGCAAATTTCTTGTGCCTCTATTTGTCACTTGTAAGGGGGTGATCACTGTGTGGACTTCATGAGCTTGAATGTTGATGATAAACTAATATTGCAGAGTGGCAGAGTGCTACCTGGCACGGAGTGAGTGGGAAGTAGGGTTGGTGGCCATAGTTGGGGGTCCAGCTCGTGACAAGTGCTCCTTTGTAGGACCACTTTATATAGAAAGCAAATATTCATGATGCCATATAGATCTTAAGTGTTTTTGGTATTTGACTTTTCTTTCATTTATCTTTTATTTTTGAGGCATGCTTTATGAAGGTTTAAATAAAATGTTTTGGGTGCCTGGAGAGTTTTTTTTTTTTTTTTTTTTTTTTTTTTTGTCTTGGAAATGGAACCCAGGGCCTGTACACATACTAGGTATGTGATCTGCCATGAGCTATACCCCAAGCCTGGAGATATTTTAATGATCTTTGAAATAGTAAAAATATTTTATCCCTATATTTTTTTAGAGGAATAGCCCAAAAGTTATATGTGTCTTTTTTAATGGATTCTGAACAGTATCCAAATTGATCATAGTCAGGGCCTAAAGGACAATTGAATGCTTCCAGTTTCTTTATCAGTAGCTGAAGCTCTGTTATGAAGCTGTCCAGTGAGCTGTTGCTCTGAATTCCCTCTGGGCTGAGGTCCATGCTGGCTGTATGAGACTAAAGGGCTCTGCCAGCTGTTGCCTGGCGGAGCTGCAGACTCCCCAAGACTCAGCTGGGTCTGTTCCTGATCAGCTGATGCCTGATGTACATTGTAATTATGTAAATCAGTTAAATACTTAGTAAACCCAGAAAGTGTAAGAAGGAATCATTTCTATGAAAAATCAGACACCTAAAGGAAAAATTGGTAAAAATAGGTCACTTAAAAAACTGCTGTGTATATGGCATAGCTGTGAAAAAAAAAATAAGAGAAAAAGTTATTAAAAGTCCACGGGGCTGGGGATTTAGAGACTTAGAAACAACATAAATGTGCAATCTCATGGACTTTTTTTTTCTTTGTACTCGGCATCAAACTTGGGACCTCATGCTTGTGAGGCAGGCTGCAGAACCACTGAGCTAAATCACACTGAATTGGGACAGCATGGGGATATCTTGTGGTGTGATTTATGCAGGAAGGTAATGGACAGCAGTAGGTAACCGCAGACACAAAGGCCTGTCAGGCAAGGGCCCAGCCATACGTTCCTTGATAAGTGTGTGGTTTTTTAAGTTTAGTAGCTTCACTTGTTTTCCTATTTTAATGACTTCCTATAACCAGCAAGTGTCCAGATCATATCATAGAAAAACTAGGCCTCTTGTGAACTCACTGGTTCACGTGCATCCGAGTGCAAGTGGAGTGAGAAAGGGGTGCGGGAGCAATGTGGCCTTGTGTGGGAGGCATGCGTGCTTCAGGGGCTGCAGGGCTGAGGCAATGACAGTGCCTGTGTGGCATGGGCCTTGCCTGGTGTGTGCCTGCTGGCTCCTGGGTCACGTTTACCTCTGGGTAGGGTCATGGAAAGGCTGTGCTCTTTGTGTTCAGTCTGGGATTTGGAGCCCAGGCCTGCTCATATTAGCTGTGTGCTGCTGAGCTAGTCCCTTGGCTTCTCTGGACTTCCTTTCCTCTGTTTTAAGTGGCCCATGTGAGGGCTGGTAAGGGGTGGCTGTGTGATCTGGTCCTGCAGGTACCACTGCTTGTTGTTACCCTGACTTCCTGACCTGGTGAATGGGGTGGAGGGGGTGCCTTCCCCAGCTACTGTGCCCTGCCCCTCTTTCTCACTGGCCTCTCCTTGGTCTCTGCTGGCGCTGTCATCTTCTTACTTTGTTTCTGTTCCTTTCCTGACACCCAGGCTTGGTAGCAGTAATGATTTGTGTGCATGGCTGGTGACCCCGGGAATCTGAAGAGGGCTCTGCTGTCTGGGGACACAGCTGGTGACTTAGCTCTTTAACCCCAGGAGGGGACCCAGAGAGGGTCTAAGCCAGCCCATAGCAGGCGCCAGATGTGTGGTAAGTTTGGGGAAGTTATTTGTATCCGGTACTGTGATGTTGTATTTATTTGTATTTTCCTTGTAAGATGCAGCTCTATGTTTGCCAGGAGAGACAAGGAATGTAGTCCGACTGCTTCCTCACATGGACATTTCAGAGCTGAGTCTCAGGAAGGGAAGTGTGAAGGAAGGATGTGGTTCTGGCCTGTGAAGGCACAGTGCCTGCAGGAAGTTGGCTGGGCTATGTCTGCCCTGGCATCAGAGCCCCATCTTCCCTGATGGCTCCTGGGATGCAAATGGTTGTGCTTGGTGGTTCCCTCTAGCAGCCCTCGTGCCTCTTAATTCTGTCCATGCACTTCCAGGCCCTTTCATTTTAAGTGCCACTGTTGCATGGAAATCACTGTGGTTGTTGGAAAGCTGACAGCTTTGGCTCACGGACACCGAGACTGTAACCACATCTGGGATGTGTAGTCACTAACTCTGTCTGGAAATCAGGCTTGGAGAACCTCAGTGCCTCCTCTGGATCCCAGAGGTAGTGCTTGGCCTGTATCTTGTGTTATGTTTCCATTTGAGGGATGGGGAGGGAGCCTGTCTGTAAACTCTGCTGTCTCAGGTTATTCCACTCCCTCTGCTTTTCTGTCATTGCCTTTGGCTGAGAGCTAAGTTGCTGGGCATGCTGCATGTGGCCTCAGAGCCATCCTGGACCCAACTCCTGCAGCCTCCTTTGTGGCAGGCCCAGTCTATGTCTGTTTCCAAAAGTGCAGTTCCCTCTAGGGCCCTCTGTTAGAAAGGGCCCTCTGCCCTTCTTCCTCCTGCTTGTCTTGGCCCTGCAGGAAGCCATCCTGGTCCTCTCATTCCTCACTTCAGTGCTTGCTCACATCCTTGTTCCCATTTGCAGTTGCTGCATTTCTGTGCCTCCTTGTCTAAGATCTTCCATCCTGGTAAGGCAGGAGCTGCGTGGCTCTCTGTTGTGCCTGGGGCTTCAGTGTTCATTGACTTCAGGGACTTAGCATTCTCTGCATCTACTGTGTCATAGAGCTCTGCTCTCTCCTGAAGGGGACAGAAGAGGGCTGGCAGTGGTGGAGTGTCTGGGGTCACCTGCTGTGCCCCTTGCAGCCCTCTGTCACCGGTCTGGAGTAGCTTGTTAGTCCTTGTCAGGCCTTCTGTTCTACATGATTCAGTTTCTTTGACCACATCTTGTAGCCTGAGGGGTTTGCGAAGGCCATCAGATTAGTGACCTGGGGTGGCCTGTTCCCCCTTTTGACTGCAGGGTCATAGCAAGCCCATCTCTGCCACAGTGGTATTCCCCACTGAAAAGGTTGCTTCCTGAAACTTGGTAGTTCCAGGAGAGATTTAATTAAATTCTCCCTGATTATGAGGGTTCAGGTGCATACTGAATACATTGCTAAACTGCAGAAATCCACCTAGAACCTTTGGATGTGGAAGATGTTTTCTTAGTGATGATGCAGACGCTGGTGATGGTATAGCAGGGTGCAGGCTGCAGACTGCTGCTGTTGGATGCTGTGTTGCTGCTGGCAGTGCCTAACTTCCTGCCATGGATCAGGGCAGCTGAGTGCTTTTAGACATAAGCACAAAGCCTGGAGAACATTTAGAGCCCTCTTAAACACTCAAGTGGGAGTGGGGCTTTTGGAGAGCAGGTACTGTTGAAGGATAGCCTTGGACACCAGCCCTAAGAACCCCATGTACACAGGGCTGTGGCCTCCACAGTGTGGTGCACAGACCAGACCCTTGTCCCTGCTGAGCCTCTTCCAAATAGCATGGGCACCATGCTTGTGCTTGAGAGTCTACACCTCCATGACCCATGCTGACAGTCACAGAACTGGTTTCACCATGTGCGAGCTTACCCAGGGCTTGCTTCAGTACTGTTCTCCACTTAAAGAGGCATTTGCTTTGAGCCTGATCGACATTGCCAGAGCTTGGCAGGTGTTACTGCACCCCCTGCCACCTCCCAGCTGCGGGTGAGAGTGTGGCTTTGTGCAAACGGACTTGTGACAGACTGAAACTGTGGAACCCTGGTGGGGAAAGTGGGTGCCTTTCTTCCTGCTCAGGCTGTGTGTGTGTGTGTGTCTTCCCTTCTTTCATTTCTCCTTCCTATGTTCAGTCTTTGAGAACCAGAGCAAAGGCACAGTTTGGAGTCCAGGCAAATGAAAGGAGAATTTGCTGCTGAGATGGATGGGGTTGATCATACATGCTGCATGGAAGCTTTCTGCCCAGAGACCCTCAGCATAGGGGGGCCTCCTGAAGCTAATGTGACAGGACCAGAGGTGCCAGTGCTCAGGAAGCAACAAACAAGTTGTGTCAAAAGTGAACAGAAGTAGTTGGGAGCATTTGTGAGTGATTTCCTTTCCTTCAAGAATGGCTATACTGAAATACTTTTCCTCACAGTTCTATGATGTTTGTAAAGCCAGAGTTTAGTATTTTTCAGACTGGCTTCTTGGGGGTTGCAGTTGACCCAAACCTTTCTGTGCAGGTGCAATTGGTGCCAGCCACTAGAAGGGCTTAGGAAGTGACTGGAATGTGCATTTGCCAGCTCTCTTTTGGTCCTAAGTCAGTAATTTTAGGAAAATCCTGCCAAATCTTAGGTATAATCATTGGTTCTGGGGAATCTTTGTTAAAGCAGTTTTAGCAGGTTGTACTTTTGCATATTGTGGCAGGCTGAGAACCTAAGTGTTGTAAAATTTCTTTGTACCCTACTAAATTTTTCTTTTTTGTTAGTGGGGTCAAACCCAGGGCATCAATACTGAGCTATATCCCAGCCCTTTAAAAAATTTATATTATGAAATAGAGTCTTGCCAAGTTGCTAAGTTGACCAAGTTGGGCTCCATTATGCAGTTCTCCTGCCTCAGCCTCCCCAAATGCTGGGATTACAGATGTGTACCAGCATACCTGGCTTCACTCTGTCTTTTTAAACTCGGGGAGCTACTGGGCTTCTCCATGGCCTTCCTTGCCAGTCCCCTGACCTGGAAACTACCTCTAGTCAGCGGGCAGGGGCAGTGGTGGGACTTACTTTCCTTGTTTTCCCTCCCTTAGGGTTTATTGTCCTGAGTTGCATGACAGCCGGTGTCTGAAAGCCATTGTTTCCTAGATTTTGTTTCATTTTTTAGTTTTCAGGAGGATGAGTAAATCCAGTCCCTATTATTCCATCTTTGCTGAAAGCAGAATCCCAACCAAGTTTTTAGAATCTCTAATGAAATATTTTGGTACACAGGCTGGTATATAGTATGTTAATTATTTGGATAGTCACTGCCCATCTTTATAATTTTGTCCTATTTCTGCTGCATTAAAAAAAACAAATTAAGACATTATGGATATAGTTAAAATCCTCTCTTCTTGATCCTATTCTCTTGCTCTTTACAGAGGTAGCCAGTAATCTGTACTTGATGATTATTGTTCATGTGTGGAATTTTAAAGTAGTTTTAATATATATCCATAATGTTAGCATGGACATTTAAAACAGTGTCATTCTGTACTTGTCCTTTCTCAGTTTTCTTTCCTTTTTCATCAGCATTCAGAAAATCTCTCTGCCCATGATACATGTATCTATAGCTAGAATGTGTGTCCCACAGGATGAGAAGCTTGGTGTGTTGTGTTCGCTGGGTGTCCCACACCCCAGAAGAGTACGTGGTACAGAGCAGGCACTTGTTAAATATGTTGAAAGACTTCATCTTTAGTGCTGTATAGTATTTGATTGTATGCATATAGTACAGTTCATCTGTTGATTGATGTGTAGGTAATTATACCTTATTCACTCCCAATATGAACAATGCTGTGATGGATGTTCTTGCTTGTGTCTCCCTGTGTACCTATGTAAGAATTTCTTTTTAGGAAATCGTAGTATCAGGGTAGGAACATCATCAGTATCACTCTGTAACCTTAGAGTTATTCTCCATGATAATGGTACCAGTTTACACTCCCACTGGCAATATACAAGAGTTAACCATTTCTTCACATCCTCACCGATATTTGGTATTGCCACATTTTAATTTTTGCTAATCTGGCACATGAAGTGGTGTTGTATTTTACGTTTTCTTGTTTATTTTTATTTTTTGACCCCTTCTCTTTTTGAGACAAAGCCTCATTAGGTAGTCCAGGCTTGCAATCCTCCTGCCTTAGCCTTGTGAGTGCTGAGATTACAGGAGTGTGCTGTCATGCCTGGTTTACTTTTCCTCGTTTTTAAATAACACATTTCTTCTTTCCTAACAGGAATTCAATGTCATCTTTCCGTCCTGGGAGAGGGCATAATGATAGTCGGAGGACTGTGTTTTATACCAACGAAGAGTGGGAACTTGTAGATCCACCTCCAAAGGACCTGGAGGAGTCTGTGGTACAGGAGGAAAGGAAGAAGCAGATACCTGAGGGAAGCAAAGGTATAGGCTTGTTTCTGTGCTGTCACTCTGATTTTGTGTTAACCACCAGCGACCTCTGTGATGACGGTGCATGTCAGTGGCTATGTAGCTTTTTTAGGAGGTAGAACACCTGGAAGTCATGCTGCTCTTGATGGAAACTATAGTTTAAAAGCTGTTTATAGAAGTTTGAGATGTACTCAACAGTAGAATATAGTATCATGAATTTTAGTTGCACATTGAGTTAGTCAACTTTCTAGAAGTGTAACAAATACTGGAGGAAAATCAGCTCACAGAGAGAAAAGGTTTATTTTGACTCCTGGCTTTGAACGTTTAGTCCTTGGCCAATGGGCACTGGATCCTAATAGGAGTGCATGCAGAGCAAGCCACTGCTCTTGAAGCCAGAAAGACCACCCGCCAGGCCCCTCCCCTTCAGTTTTCACCTCCTCTTCAGCCCAGGCTGGGGACCAGGCTGTCCACATGGGTCTTGGGACCATGTGGAACCTAGGCTGTGGCCCCCATCACCCTGGCTTCCACAGCTTTGAACTATAGCCTCTTACTTCGTGTTTCTCTTCTAAGCACTTCTTTGATGCACTCACCATCAGCAAGGTTATTATTTTTAATTTTATTGGTACTTTTTTGATATACTTAATGATCACATTCATCATAGGCAATTTGTACCTGTACATAATATATCTTTTTGTTGGTTTGTTTTTGGTACTGGGGATCGAACTTGGGACCTTGCGCTTACAAGGCAGGTGGCAGAACCACTGGGCTTAATCCCTGACCCTATGTAATATATCTTGATTCTCTTTTTCACCATTCCCCTCCCCTCCCTTCAACCCTTCTTCCCTTATGCATTTACAAAAGTTTTGTTTCCATTTTTTTCCTTCTATTATTTTTTTCTTTTCCCTTTCTTTCCGTCTTCTTTGTTCCCCTTCCCATTTGAACATTTTTTTTTATTTTTGTTTTTTTGAGACAGGGTCTCACTATGTAGTCGAGACTGACCTATAACTCACTATGTAGCCCAGGCTGGTCTCGAACTCACAGCGATCCTCCTACCTCAGCCTCCTGAGTGCTGGGATTACAGGCATTTGCCACCACGCCCAACTCATTTTCTTTTGGTTTCATTTGAACATTTTCTTTCTATTTCCCAATATCTGTCATCTGTTTTGGTCCTTATTTACAGAAGGGTTACAGATGGGATTTTTTTTTTTTTTTTTTTTTTTGTAGCAG